TCCATTTCCTCCAGCTTAATATATGAGTCTTGACTATGCAATATTTCTTGCAGATACCTGGTAATTTTGGGTACAACTCTCTGGGCTGGTTTTACTTTCCGGCGATGCACGTACCCATCGCTGCGAACAAGAGAAGGACTACCGTAAGACACGTGCGAAACGTCGGTACACGTGAATCATCCGACTGATTATATATTTCTGCGTTGTGCATAAAAACCGTGTTTTTTGCTGTTTTTGAGAATGACCAGCAACGACAATAAAATACTCAATAGGGAACAAATACACAAATTTCCGCTGCAGAAAGGCAAAGGTCATTCATATCATTCTTAATCAGCTGCATGTAGGATCGTGGAAGTGATGTTGAACGTCAGGAAGACAGGTTGTGTGCCTACCGGTGAATCTCGGTGGCCAGTTGTAGGATAGTCAGATAGTAATTGAAAACATCTTCCGTGAAGATGCTTGGTCATGTTGCTAAAAAGTGTACATTACATAACCCGTTACGACGATTTCGATGTATTAAGTACATCTGTTTTCTCTCATTCAAAGAAAGTTACAGACGGAGAAAGGTAGGGGAACACAATTTGTTATTTTGTGAACCCCAAACCAGAGAATCGACCTTATTTACGAGGACCGTAAAGGAGACGAAGACTGGCAACGAAACATACCAAATGACCGGGAAAATGATAGCGGCGCAACACAGCAAGTCGATGAAGATGAAAAACCGCGTCCAGAACTGATAACTCTGTTGACCCTGCTCGCTTTCTTCCAAGACGATCAGCGCGATGTTGTCGATCACCTGCGCGAACAGCCACCGCATCAAGCAATCAGCAACGACTAAGACCAACACCGGCGGCAGCAGTGATGGCCGGTAAAGATCATACAACGCATACCTGTAGTGGAATTACGATCATGAATAACTTGCGGTCTCGATCTACAAGAAAGTTCTTGAAAAACGTCCAGCCGGTGCCGATTAGGATGATGGTGCCGAACAGCAGCGCTCCTTTCAGTCTAAACCACTAATTCACGACAATACAGAAATTACAACGGTCAAACCGTACAGATGCATGATGTAGAAGACAACGGCCCAAACCTCCTGCTGCCGACCATTTAACGATATGAAATAGAAATTCACCTAAACAATGAGAGTCGTGTTATCAAGAGACAACCGCACTGCTAAAAGTTAAACCGGAAAACAAATAATCATTTATATGAAGCGTCTACCCATATTTAATTTACAGTATGTACTGGTTTGGAGACGTGGAACTGAAACTATGATTTTAAAAAATTTTCATGACAGTGTAAAATTGCCTTAAACCCTAAGTATATCTTAGCAGTGCCAAAAAACGCTAATGTTTCAAAGGCATATTCGGGAAAGTTTAACAGCCTGTTTGACAATTTTGCACGTTCCCGCTAGCGACATTACAGAAAAATAAGAAGTCGTTATATATCACGTGCACAAAGGATGAATCATACAATCACATCCGCTGAAGCCTGTCCATAACTTGTGACTCGACTAGAAATGATGCTGCAACATCGTGAATTAGATACTAAACATCTATGTATGCATGCCTATAATAATCCCAGATTTTAAGAATTACTAGAAGGAAAACGAGTGTTATGACATATTAGACTGACTACCTACGTCGCCATTCCCGCATATTAAATCTGCAGTTTCAATTAATGATTTACACCTTGTGCTAATTATTACTCAACAATTAAGTTTGCAAAGGCAAACGCATTGCCGGACTTCTTGCACGCTGTGACATGATTACACCAGAAAATATTCTGTGCCTGTTCTTTGTAGTTGAACGGCTTACTCTAAGTCTCTCGGCTAACCGAACCGAAGCACAATGAGGTGAATTCCTTGCCCAAAGGAATTAGCAGTTAATACGAAAAACTACACACCGTGATGGAATTAGCCCACAACATCTCTAAGGTACAAACCAAACTACACATCGACTACGCCACTGACACTCCAGACATGTACGTCACTATGTGCCAGAACACGAAAACGAAATCGGAAGAACGGTCACCAAGGAAGAGGCATTAAGAAAGTTGGAAATGCCATCTGAACTAGTACATCGTTGCATCACTGCATCTTCTTCATCTTCTTCATCCTCATCTTCCATCGCCGCTTCTCCTTTCGGGTCGCGGAGGCAGACGCGTCAGACAGTGCTTC